ATAAAGTAGGAGGAAGGGGAGAAATGCATAAGGAGAGAGGTTTCAACTGGGTGGAAGGAAGAAGCTTTAAACAAGGCAAGATGTTGGTTGCTGAGAGGAGGTGCTGAAGGGCTTTCTGAAGCAGGCAGAGAGCAGGGTTAAGTGACCCCTCAGATACTGTCCAGTTCTCAACTGGGGATAAACAGGAACCCTGAGGGCTTCAGCAAAACCTCATCAAGCCAACAAAGGTGCCAGTTCCTAAAATTGCATTATTAAAACAGAAAACCACATTAACTTGATCTGATCTTCCCCTTTCTGCAAACCCACATTTTATGGGAGAAAAGAGCTAATCAGTTGTGGCAGCGGTCACAGCCCAGAATATGCCCTGGCTGCCTGGAAGATCTTTCTGCCACTGCCCATCCACATCACACAGAATACCTGGTGCCAGGTGCAGGGCAGCGCATGCTGTAGAGATACACAGCAAAGGAAATGTTTCTTAAAAGCTTATTGTTCGGAAATCACAATGCTAAATTCCAGTTTCTTGGAAGAGAGGTTACATGGGTCAGCTTCTGTCCTGCCTTGTGAACTCATTTTTTTCTGGCCAGGGACATTGGCTAGGATGTGAAAGCTAATTCACATGAGCCATTGTTTGAGCGCAGAGGGAGGGAGCCCGGCTGCATGGATTCAAATCCTGCTCTCCTGCTAAGAAGCTGTGTGGCTTCCAGGAGTTACTTTACTTCTCTGTGGCAAGGATTTCTCTTCTTTAGAGAAAACATTAGTATTTATCTATTACGATTTTTTTTTGAGGAGTAAGCAGTTTGAACATTGATGACATTCGTTTTTTCAATATAAAACACTTAGAAGGAACCCTAGCACTTAGGAAGACCTACATTTGTTATAATATTATTACTATCACTATTATTATTTCTTAAGGTACTGTTGGAAGAGGCATGATGGAAAGGGGAAATCTTGGGCTTTGAAATGACTTACAACTGGATTCATATTCTGCACCCTAAGTACTTTGTTCAACAACAGCTAGAAAAACGGTCAAAATCCTTCCTCTGCAGGGTTGGAATGAGAAATGAGAAATAATATGCACCCATTTCTATGCCTGGCATATAGTACCTGTTCAAGAAACTTTCTATTTCCCTCTTCCCCTGGCCAGTGTTTCTTGTCAGTGCCCAAACACTGCTAGGAGACAAGTACCCACATGTGAACGAGACGTAGTCCCTATCCTCAAAGGGCTCTTGGTCCATAAGAAAGACCTGGATGCACACGATGACAAAGTGATGTGACAAGGACTCTCATGGAAGTACCAATACAAAGGGTTCCAGGATCATAGGGGAAAAGATTCAAACAAAGTTCATCTGGGAGAATAGAGGAAATCGTTGCCTGGGAGGCAGCGCTTGGGCTGAGGTTTGAGAAAGACCAGGATGCTGCACTGGTCTGAGTATTGGTGGGAGAGGAGTGGGGACATTTCAGGCAGCACAGAGGATGGACCGTGAAGAGAGCCATGAGGCTTTGTTGGGATCACTAGCCACCCTGCAACTCTGATTTCTGTGCCAAACCCCTTGGGGTCTAAGCAGTATATCCTCCCCACCCTGAACAAGCTGCTCATGTGGAGAATTCACAGGAAAACCCCTGGCATAGAAGACACTCAAATCCAAAGTAGCATGCATACACCTCAAGGGGGACACTGCCAGGAAAGTTAAAGTGAACCCCAGATGGACAAGTCAGAAACGTGGTGTGTTTTAAATGCTTTTAATAAAATGAAGCTTCATGCCACTCCACAGTCACCCCACCTTGGCCAGAGCATGGGTCACTCTGGCGTACCTGGGCTGGAACTCTGAGTCCCAGCTAGGGGCACTGGAGTATGAGCTTTCGTCCGAAGCCCTCACACTGTTGGCAGCCTCAGACCCTTCTTGCCACAACCAGCACAGATGTCCTCAAGGATTCAAATCCAAAACTGCACTAGTAACTTCTTCCTCAGGAGAATGAGCAAGGCCCCCAGGTGTGTGTGATTATATGTAGTGTGTGTGTGTGTGTGTGTGTACAGTGCATGTGTGTTTGTATGAGTGTATATGAATTGTGTGTACATGTGGGCTTGTGTATGCATGTGTTATATGTAATGCATGGTTGTATAAATGTAAATGTGTTTATATGTAGTGGCATAGATAGTGGTATATGCACATATGTTTGTGTGCATGTCATGTGTGTATTGTGTGCATTTTGTGTAGTGCATGTAGCAGGCATACATGCATGTGTGTGGAGTGTGGTTTGTGTATACATGCACTGTGTGTACATGTCTGTTCATGTGTGTGATTGTGTGGATGTATGTGAGTGAGAGATGAGGGGCTTGGAAGTCCTCTTCTGCAGAGTCAGGATTCAGAGTTGTCACCTGGAGGGAGGCTCTGAAGCCCACCCTAGTACTTCAGCCCTCCTGCTTGGAATCCTGCTGCTCACTTGACAGATCTGGCTGAACTACTCCTAATTCATCATCATAAAGTGAGTGAAAATCTTCTCTGTGTCCAAATATTTCATTCCTCAAGTCTCTTGCACTAAAGGACAAAACTTTGGCCCTTCTTCCACTAGAGTGCTCTCCCACTCAGAATCCCTCCTAGGTGTCTCACTTGTCAAACTGAATGTCTGGGAAACTCCCAGGGAGCAGTGGGGCTCAACGGGTTACCTGTCTCCATAAGCCTCAGTGAGTCCTTAACAGGAGATGTAGGTAGGATCCTACCATGCACACTCCACAGCCAGCCAGCCACAGGAGTAAGATCCCAGCCCTGCCCTCAAGGTCCTGGCCCAGAGAATGAAAGCTATAAGGCTCTTTGGGACATTAGAAAGTGCTGAAACCTGGGTGCTGAATCCAGTGACCTTGGGCAGGTGCTTGGCCTCCCTGATCTCACCTGTGAAATGAAGCCAGCATTAAACTACACACCTCATTCAGAGTCCCAAACAAGTTAAAGCAGAATATTAAAAAGACCAAATTAAAGATCCAAACGTGTCCAGGGGTGAGTGGAATCCCCTAAGCCCCACCATCAGTTAACCAGTGGGCTCCAAGATCCCAGCCACTGAGATGAGATGGAGTCTCCCATTGCCTTCCCTCCTGGTAGATTTGTGCTTTACTGACTAGGTTAGGACTAGAGGCGGGGCAAGGATGCCCAGGCAGAGTTCCTGAGAACTTCTCAAAGGGGCAGGTTAACCCAGCAAGGCCAACCTGCCCAGTAACTAACTACTCCCTGCACCACAACATACATACTCTTTTACATGTCTCCCAACACATGGCATACACAGAACACACCAACTAGGCATCACATCCAGAAGTGAAACTCACACCCATCACAAAGTGTATGCACTCATACACAACACACTCAGTACATGCATCCCATCGTAGACTATCCTACACACACACACACACACACACACACACTCTAGTAGCCACACTACATGGCCTGCAAACATGATTTTCACATTCAATGGTTTCACAGAAATAGGCATTTCACTCATACACAACGCACATCCTACCCACACTCACTGCATGATACCACTGCTCAAATGCCCTCGCTGCACAGCCACTCTCTCTCCAGCTCATCTCACACTTATTTGCACAAGGCTGCACATAAACACGCGTTGACACTACTCTACATCTCTTCTACAAGCCCTCACACCCGGGGCCCATCGGTGCAGTGCATCCCCCACGCGGCCAACTCCTGCAAGAGGCATCCCGCTCGGTGTGCAGCGGCCACAGTGGCCAGGAATTAAAATGCAGTGAGGAGGAGCCCGGGCGCGTCAGCACCGCGTCTCCAGGAGCGCACCGCGCTCGCCACCGCCGCACCCCGCCCGCGCGAGCCGCGGGGCCAGCGAGCGGAGAAGCAGGTGCTCGGAGCCCAGCCGCGCCAGCGTCGCGCAGCCGCTGCCCAAGTTCGCCCGGGGCCCAAGCAGGGCCGGGCAACCGGGAGAGGAGCTCAGCCATCGCCACCGCGAGCTTGGAGTCTGGAGAGGAGAAGGGCTCACGGACCAAGGAGTCCGGGTCACTCCCGGGAGGTGTTGTCGGGGCTCCGCAGTTCCTGGCTCCCGGCGCCGCTGGGGCAGGGAAGAGAAGAGACAGGGAACAGCGAAGCTGGGCTTTTCTGGAGACACGAGGCATCCCTGAGAGTGGTGCCAAGGGGAGAAGCGACACTTTCCCCTGGCCGGCAGCCTTGAAGGGACTCGGCATTGAGCAGCTTCCCGCAGAAGCCTCTTCCTTGAGAAGAAGCCCCCAGCCCCAGGCGAGGGCGGGCACATCGCAGAGCTCAGGCGCAGGACTTGGGGAAGCCTTCGCGGGTTCCGGCCGAACGCAGCCCGGCAACAGTGAGAAGGAAGGGTCCTGGAGAAAAGGGAGCGAGGAAACAGCGGCTGGACGACCACTCACCCCAGTACACACCCACCCCACCCGCCCAGCCAGAGAGCTGCGGTGCGCCTCTGGGGGCGCTCGTTCCTTGGCGCCTTCTCTCGCATGTCCCAGCACCGCTGGGCTACGGGCCAGGCTAGTGGGGTCCTTGGGGATGTCCAAATCAGGCATGGTTGCCGAGTGGCCCCTCTCCCAGGACCAGCGTAAAAGCTGGGGTTAAGTGGGGCAGGGGGGACTCAGCGAAGGGTCCCCCGAGGTCCAGAACGAGTGGAGGCGGAAGCAGCGCCCAGGAACAGGAGAGGCGGCTCCCAGTGGGGCCCCTCCAGAGGTAGTGCCCGGTGTCTGACATCCTTCAGGAAGACAAGGGGCCAGGAAAGCCTGGGAGGCGCTCGGGAGAGGCCAGTGCCAGGGGCGGCGGGCCGAGGCGGCGCTCAGTCCCGGGCGGGCGCCCGCGGAGGCGGCGGCGGCGGCGCCGGGCGGGCATGCCGCGCCACCGGAGCTCCTTTCGGGCGCACGCTTCCCTGGCGCGGGCTGCGCGCGGCTGCTCCTGCTTCCACTGCTGCTGCGGACTCCCATGGCGGCTCCGCCCGGCCGGGGCCGCCGCTGCCGCCAGCGGCGGGCTGAATGAATGAGCCGGAGCGGCGGAGCCGGGCTGCCCGCGGCCGCGCTCCCCGGCCCGGGACGCTTCCGCATGGCCCGCGAGCAGCCGGCGCCCGCGGCGGTGGCGGCGGCCGGGCAGCCCGGGGGTGGTAGGGGCAGCGAGCGGGCGCTGCAGGGGCCAGGGGTCGCCCGCAGGGGGCGGCCGTCTCTGAGCCGCGCTAAACTGCACGGGCTGCGGCACATGTGCGCCGGGCGCACGGCAGCGGGGGGCTCTTTCCAGCGGCGGGCGCTCTGGGTGCTGGCCTTCTGTACGTCCCTCGGCTTGCTGCTGTCCTGGTCCTCGAACCGCCTTCTCTACTGGCTCAGCTTCCCGTCACACACGCGGGTGCACCGCGAGTGGAGCCGCCAGCTGCCCTTCCCCGCCGTCACTGTGTGCAACAACAACCCGCTGCGCTTCCCGCGCCTCTCCAAGGGGGACCTCTACTACGCCGGTCACTGGCTTGGGCTGCTGCTGCCCAACCGCACCGCGCGCCCGCTGGTCAGCGAGCTGCTGAGGGGCGACGAGCCGCGCCGCCAGTGGTTCCGCAAGCTGGCCGACTTCCGCCTCTTCCTGCCGCCTCGCCACTTCGAGGGCATCAGCGCCGCCTTCATGGACCGCCTGGGCCACCAGCTCGAGGACATGCTGCTTTCCTGCAAGTACCGAGGCGAGCTCTGCGGCCCACACAACTTCTCCTCCGTGAGTTGCCCTGCGCGCGCGAAACGCCCCTCTCCCCAAGCCCCTCTCCCTCTTCCTGGTGGTCCCGATGCCCGCTAGTGGGACTCCGGAGAGCCTGGACACCAGAGCCTGGACACCAGGCTCCTTTTGGTGTCCTCACTGCAGGAAGCCAGTGTACAGCCCACTCTTGTGTCGCCTGAGTCTTTCCCTCCAGGTTGTGGGAACTTGACTTAACTGTAGGAGTCACCTCACCCCAGTCACAACTCCTCTACCCTGGCACCTCTCCTTCCAGTATCTGCCCTCAAACTCCTCCCTGTACTAGTTATGGTCCGATCTGTGGATACTGGTCCCCCTTCTCCCTGGCCTCACCTCCTGGTCCACAGGACTCTCCAACCACTGCTGTGTTTGGGGGGTGTAGGGATGTCTTAAATACGGACTTGTTGTCTTTGGGAAAACCAATTGGAATCTCTTCAAAAATGGGCCATCAGGAGAATACATAAGAGTTCCTAAGCAAGCTTAGGATCCTAAGCAGCTTATGGTTTCATACTTAACAAAACACTCAGAATCTAGGAGGAAACTCCCAGAATATTAACCAACACCAACACTATAGCCAGTTTGGTGTGGGAAGCAGCGGCACCCTTTTGCTTATTTGTAAGAGGGCTGCAGTCTTGATGGGCCCAGCCTTACACTTGCACTCCTTCTCCCAGGCTGTGTAAATGTGGGTCTTCCGGTCTGGAGGCATGCCCTGCAGTTGGGGAGGCAGAGTGACAGGGATGTGCATGCAAACAGCCAGGGCCAGGAGAAGCTGTGCTCAAGGTTTGTAAGCCATTTGCTGTGCTGGTTCCCCCATGCTGTGGTCTGGATAACGCAGCTGTTGGACAGAAGGTATCTGCCGTGCGCAATCTGCCTTGGAGGAGTTCTGGTGCCAGGCCCCAGTGTGGCGAAAGCCGGTCCAGCCATTCATGTGTAAATGCCCCTTAGGTGGGCTTGGGCTTTTGTACAGCACGGGGAAGTTTGGTGTGTGTCTATTCACAGTGCTCTGGAGGTGATTTTGCTGGCTGGGATTCATTACTCCTGATGGTCTCATCTCTGACAAAGCTTTTTTTCTGGGATGGCAAAGAGATGCCATGGTTTCAACAGGTGTTGGCATGATGCTGGCCAGGCCAGGTCTCTGATTGGCTGATCGGTTTATTCCTTGTCTGGGATGATACCCCTGTCTTTTTAGTCTTGCCCTGTTGGCTTTGCTTTAAACCAGCGTAAAAAATAACCCCCGATTATTCATTCCTGAAACAGTCCTTGTTTTCTGGGCTTTTTAGCTGGCCTTTAAAGGTTATCTACCTGGTGGCTGCCGGCCTTGGCAAGCAGGAAATGCTGTTAACATATGCTTCTAAGGGACTTCATGCAGAACTTCAAGTACAATTCTGAGTTCCATAAAGGTGAAGAAATCAGAGTAGCAATCCCTTGTTGCCTGTTGTTCTTCGACTGACCTCTACTTAGCAGCCATTAGAGTTAGATTGAAGTTCAAGGTTACATTCAAGTATCATCAGCTCCATGTGGTACAACAGAGCCTATCGAATGTAACTGTAACATCTGATGATTGCTTTAGGAAGTGTGTGAAATTGAACAGCAGTATTCACTTTTGATATTACCACCGTCCTGAGTTAGCAAGGGGTTTTGGTCCCATTTTTAAAATGAGAGAAATGAAGATCGGCAGAGCTGTCCAGGGCCTAGATCCTGCAAGTTCAAAGTCTAACTTTGCATTCCACTAAATGCATCACACAGAAGCCACATGTAACCCTTCCTCTCTCGTCCTGGGCCTATCTTCTATCTGAGGACCCCTGTTAGGACTCTTATTCCATCCTCACTCCAAGTCCTGTCCCTCCTAGGAGCTGGGAGAGTAGAAAGTGGGGACACCCCAGGTAATCCAGGTGATCAGAACCTTGGCCACATGTTCCTGGGACCTAACCCATCTCTGCATGCTGAGGACACAGTACCTTCAGGAGCCTCCTCTGAAGCAGGTGTGGCCTTGAATTGTTTTAGGTCAGTAGTAAAGGAGTTGAGGAGAATGGGGTCCTTTGGGATATACCCTTCTTTTTCCTCCCTGTGCCCTGCCTCCCTGCATCTGAAGAGTTTGTCAGCCACACCCACCCAAGGAAAAGTATTACTTTCATCCCCAAAGGATTGTGTGCCTACAGCCTGGAGCAGCTTCCCATGATGGCCCTGCCCTGGGAGTTCCTGGCCCCTGAACAAGTCTTGCTGTAGGTTTTCTTGTGGGTCCAAAATGAAAGATTTCACCAGAGGCTTTATCAGGAGAGCCCTTGAGATTCAGAGTAGGCCCATCAGAAAATATTTTTCTCTAAGCTCACTGCTCTGCCTCAAACCTTTGCCACCTTTGATGGAGTGACGCAATAGCACAGTGGCTGAGAGCATGAACTCTCAGGCTGTGCTGACTCTCCTCAAATCCCAATTCTACCCTTACTGTGTGGCCTTAGGCTAGTGACTTCATCTCTCTGTTCTTTAGCTTCCTAATCCATCTAGTGGAGATAACAATAAGTATATACCAAACTCTGTGGCTTCTTTTGCTTTGGAGCTTTTCCTGACCACCCCCCACCCCTACACCACATCAATCAAGCACCTGTTTCCTTCCCCATGTTGGACCCTCTCCTTCTGTAATTGGATGTGGGTCTCACTTATGTGCAGGCCATCATTCCTATTGAACTGTGTTTGTCCCCCCCCATCAAACCAGGGCTGGAATCGGATCTGATTTCCCTGTTGTCTCCAGCACCCACCCACCACACAGCCTTACACATATTTCGTGCAAGGAAGGCCCTGGGGAATTAATACTTTCACCCAGTACCCTCCGAGATTTCCTGTTGTCCTAGTTCCCTGAGCCAAGACTCAGCTTAATTGCTCTAGGGTATACCTGGAAATCCCTGATTCTCATTGGAAATGAGGCTTCTATTTTGTGGGCTTCTTTTCCTTTTAGGAATGGACTTCTATTCCACTTAGGGATTGGGGGCTTCTAATCCTTTTAGGGATGGAGGAGTGGGGAGCAGGGTGCCAAGCACTTGCCAGATACCTGTGATCCTCAAGTCCTAAGAGGACTGACTAGTGCAACAGGTGAGGGGTGGGGTTCCCTGGTGGTACCTTTGGGAGATGATCGTTCTGTTCCCAAGTCAGTCCCATGGTCTGGAAATATACCCTGCCGAGCATAGAAGTGGATAGCCGAGGGGTGTCTGCTGGGTATTCTTGTCAGCAGGTGTTCATTGCAGCCGGGCAAGGGTTAATCCCTCAGCAGTCAGCTAAACCAGTTCCTGCTTCTGAATGCCCGTGTTGTTTCCCTAGCTTCAGCTGTGGACTCGGGCTCTGCACACTCTTGTCCTTCTGGGTTTCCTGGAGGTGGAGGAAAGCAGCCTTCCCTGTAAACTGGGCAAGAAGCAGAGGTGTGAGGCTGAGCGCTCTGGGCACTGAGGCCTCAAAAGAGGAACCGAGGCCAGTCCAAGATCCTCTGCAAGCCCAAGGAGCAGAGGCCCTCTCTGGACGATGGCATGCTTCAGGGAAAGTGTCAGTCACACGTTGGTTTGGGGTGTTGACTCTGCTCCTTCCTAGGTGTGTACCTTGGGCAGATAGTTTGCTTTCTGAGCCTCTGCTAATAAGTCCCGAGCACTGGGATGAAGATAACATGCGCAGTGACTGGCACATGTCTGGACAGCTGTGGGGTGCTGGATATTCAAGAGCCATTGTCACAGCATGAATAAAGAGCTCGGCGGCACAGTGTCTTGGCATGTGGTAGCAGCAGTTGTTAATCACCAATAGAGTTATCCTATCTTTCCATGACCTGAGAGGGGCTATGTGCTCATTTCCTAGTTTGGTCATTGCATTAACCAGTACCCATTTTGAGTGCCAGTCATACACTAAGCTCTGTAACTTGCTCCTGGGGATATAACATTGTATAAGGCTTGGTACGTGTCCTCCAGGAAGCTGCAGGGTCGTGGAGGAACGAGCCAGGTACGCAGAAGCCAGGAGTGTGCAGAGATGCTGCATGGCTCAGAACAGTATTCACATCAGATTGGGGACCTCGGATGGCTTCCTGGAGAGATGACATCTGAGCTGAATCTGGAAAGATGAGTAGGAGTTCCAAGGGAGAGAAAGGGGACAAAGGGACTTCCGAGGGAAGGAAGGGACAATATATGCAAATGAGAGAGTACAGCAGCTTGAAACGATGAGATTGAACATATGCCTTCTAGGCCCTGATACTAGTTCAGAGTAGCTGGAGGGAGGGGCTGGATGTGCCGTGTGGGGGCACAGTTGAGGGGTTGTGACACAGTGGTGTGATGGGGTACCTGGTGACCCAACTGAAGTTTTGAACTTTGCAGCAGCAGTTCTGACTTTTTTCAATACTGGCTGGTAGGGTGTAAACGGGCACTTCATCTGTGTCCCAACCCGCCAGCCACTACGCCATTCCTAACTCCATCAGGGACCATCCTGCCTGCACCCCTCCCCGTTTTCTACCCCTCTTTGCAGGAGTTAACCTTGAATTCTGATTTTGGCCTCTTCCCATATACTAAAAGCCAAGAAAATAGCATTTGGTTTTATCACATTTTGTCATATCATGCAAGCTGGCTGCTAGGAGCCAGCCACAGAAAACAAGAAATCATTTCAGTAACATATTGTTTAAAATCAGCAAATTCTGTTGAAATGAGGCTAGGCCAGGCAAGTCTAGTGGTTGTGAGGATGGATAGCTATAGGGAGTCCAAAAAAAAAAATCTATTTATTTATTTATTTATTTATTGCTTTCAGAGAAAGAACAAGTGAGCTAATACAAGGAAAGTGTTTAGGCACGTTGTTTCTGGCACCAAGTGGAAACTCAGTGGTCTGAGCTGTTTTCCATTCTTGTTACCTGCAGTGAACACTGTGAGCGAAGGTCCACGGCGTACTGCAGTGGGCAGCTGCAACGTGCCAGACCCTGTCTGGAGATGTTTCACTTTATCTCCATCTCACAACCCTCCAAGGTTGCATAA